CCTTGTTTAACATTTCCTGAGTATTCAATAGGACATCATCATTCCTCTGAATTGCCGATCCTACCACCATTGTGCTTTCTATGTTAATTTCATTTACTTCCGAGGAAGCGTTTTCTTTTGTGATTAATACAGAGTCAGGTGCTCTGATTCATTTTCCTGGCACTGGCCGTTTCACCTTTTTGTTCTGCAAGTATCTCATCGTTTAACAGTTTATTTTTAATTATGACTGACAGACAATCTTTGCTCAGACACATTTACGTCAGGATATTTTCTAGTAAATTCCTCATGTAATATTTTGCGATATTCAGTAAAGTCCAGGCTTGTTCCAAATGTTGTTTCTCACTCATATTTGTACAATATTCACTAGCACTTTTTAACCTGTCTTGTTCCAGCACAACAAACCTGCAGGTTTTCCTAGTTTCTTCATATACAGGGTGTCCACTTGGTTCGATATCGAACGATATCTCCATACAGGGTGATGCAAGAAGAAAAAGTTAAATTAGAAACTTGTCTGATATTCTAATATGCATCAGTTAAAAATATTTTTGAATATACAGGGTGCTCCGTTTATGGAGTATGAGACAGAACTTTGTTTTTTTAAATGGAACATCCTGTATGTGATTGCACATTTGGATTCTACATAAAATTCTAAGCAGATTTCATATACCCTATACCTAAGTTCAACCGTTTTGAAGATATGGACAGTTGAAAATTGACTTTTTGCAACTTTGACAGGCTGTAAAACCTAAAGGGTTCATTTTAGACGAAAACCAATTTCACATACCCATCTTAGATTTTCATAAACATCATCATTTGACACCAACTTCGAATTTAACCGGAGATTAAATTTGGCTGGAATTTTTAATCATGGATTAAATTCAAAGTTGCTGTCAAATGATAGTTAATAAAAATCTAAGACAGGAATGTAAAATCGGTTTTGTTGTAAAATTAACCGTTTAGGTTTTACAGCCTGTCAAAGTTGCAAAAAGTCAATTTTCAACTGTCAATATTTCCAAAACGGTTGAACTTAGGTATAGGGTATATCACATGATATCTACTCAGAATTTTACGTAGAATCCAAATATGCAATCATATACAGGGTGTTCTATTTAAAAAAACAAAGTTCTGTCGCATATACCGGGTGCCCACGAGATTACTTTCCGGCTGCCATTTTTTTATTTGTTCATTGATATCAACGAAACTTGGTAGGCTTGATATTCTAACGAAATGCCATTTTTGTGCATTCATGACAAGTTTTCCTGACTTCGGGTTTCACCGGAAATTACCGAAACTTTCGATTTTTAAATGACACACCGTGTATATTTTTTGTTTTTTGGATTCTACAGATCGTTTTACGTCCTAATGTACCACTTTCAAATCAAACTTTGTCCAAATTTCGTTTTCAAATTAAATTTTAGGTAGAAAAAAAAAAATAATCTACATAATAAAATAAAAATATTTGAACGAAAATCAAGAAAAATGTCGTAGTGTATCATATCGTTGGATTCGCTTCAAAATACTGCATTAGTAATGTTATGAAAGTGATATGTTCCTATTCTAGTTTTTGAGCTAGGGCAAAAGTACTAAAATAATGAAGTTTACATCCCTCTATCAAAAAAGTTTACAAAGATAAAATTCAGTTTGTATTTTTCTGAAATTAAGTAAACTATGTAGAGTCATTTTAGGATGATCATGGCACTCTAATTAAAAAATTAAAATTTAATTTGAAAACAAAATTTGGACAAAACTTGATTCAAAAGTAGTGCATTAGGACGCAAAACGATCTGTAGAATCCGAAAAACAGAAAATCTACAGGGTGTGCAATTTAAAAATTTTAAGTTCCGGTCATTTCCGGTGAAACCGGAAGTCAACAAAACTTTTCAATAATGCATAAAAATGGCGTTTGGTTAGAATATTAACCCTACCAAGTTTCGTTAATATCGATAGATAAATAAAAAAATGGCAGCCGGAAAGTGATCTCGTGGGCACCCGGTATATACCTCATAAACGAAGCACCCTGTATATTCAAAAATATTTTTAATTAATGCATATTAGAACATCAAACAACTTTGTAATTTAACTTTTTCTTCTTGCATCACCGTGTAAGAGATATCGTCCGATATCGCACTAAATGGACACCCTGTATATTTGACGGCATCTTGTCTCAGCTGATCATGAGAATCTTGATGCCCATACATGGGCAACCTTACCGCTCTAAAACGGCAGCTGCCGTCTCCGATTATATTTTCTCTAGTAAAAGATATTTTTTGGTTTGGTTTGCTGCAGATCTCATTGTCCTTATTTGTAGCCATTCTTGTGGTTCCATTCAGTGGAGTGACGCCACTTGCTCCATCAACATCCACTGTAAGCGAAACATCACAACAGTTCCGAAAGGTACTCGCTTCCATATCCCTACCGCCACAGTTGGTTTTTCCCTTATTTTGTATTTTCATTGCTTCAAATAAATTGAGCTACGAGATAAGCTCTCGCTAGCAGGTCTCCGACGACCAGTTGGAGTGTCGCTCCTAACATGGAGTACCGTCGCGTGCGTGTTAATTTTGGTTTGCCCGAGTATTTAATTTCTTCGGTACCCACCATATCTGACGGGCATTCCCCTATCCACCACCTTGGTCCTTATTTTTGACACAGGGCAGCATTGTTCCCAGGAGAACGAGTATTCCGTCATTGTTACTTATATTATCACTTCCATATCAGAACACTCGTTCTCCTGGGAACGCTGTTCCCCTGTTTCAAGAATAAGGACACTGGGGAGGCGTCCGGTATGGGATTAGCAACTTATGCGGATTATTATCATTATTATTAGTCTGACAGTACGCGGAAAGTCCGATAAAAACTCAGATTAGTAGAAATAATATCTTATCCACCTGCCAGCTAATGCCCAGGCTAAGTAAATCACCCTGTATAGTGTCTGTTTGTAGGTAGATAAAAAGGTGGACACAAATTTTGGTGTTCCACATTTTTGCCAATCAATAATGACTTAGTTGCTCTGGATATAGGCAATTTCACACTTTTATCAGTACAAATGAAAACATTGGAGTTGACCCAGGAGTGTTCTAGAATGCAATTCGTAACTTCAAAATATGGCTGTTATGAAATTATTCGTTAGTTTCTTGATAGAACATACAGATAAATTCTAAGATACAGGCTCAGGATAAAGTCAGTTTAATTATCTACTCCATTATTAATACCCACGACGTTGAGGGTAGTTTCAACACTCCAAATTACACTGATACAAAACTAACAGCCTCTTAGTTTAATTTGGATCATTATAGTTATTTTCAACTGTTCTTGAGAATGTTGTCTAACAACAATGCATCAATGTACAGGGTGGTCATTTTATCTTGATAACATTTTAAACTGTCATAATTTCTTCATTTTTAAAGTTATTTAAATAAATAAAAAAACATACTGTAGGGTTGGTTTCCAAGTTTTAGATAGGGTGGACAAAAAACAAAAGACCGATATATTTTGACAGTTATGCACACAAATAGCATTTTTTTGAATGGAACACCCAGTAAATTTTTAAATTCTTTGATAATATGTTTCATTCTGACTGCAATACATACAATACAATACACTTTAATACAATTTACTCTATATTTACATGCAGAAGTGTTTTATTTATTCTAATGGAAAATTCTGCCTACCTACCTACCTTTGCAGGTAATCTGTGTAGGTAATCAATATTTGCAGTTAGAATAAATGAAATATTTCTGCATGTAAATATAAAGTGAATTGTATTCAATTGTATTGTATTGTATATAATGCAATTAGGATGAAACATATTATCAAACAAACTTGAAATTTACTGGGTGTTCCATTTAAAAAAATGCTTTTTGTGTGCAAAACTGTCAAAATATATTAGTCTTTTGTTTTTTGTTCATCCTATCCAAAACTTGGAAAACAACCATACAGTATGTTTTTTTATTTATTTAAATAACTTAAAAAATAAAGAAATTATGACAGTTTAAAATGTTATCAAGATAAAATGACCACCCTGTACAAATATTACAGTAAAATAGCACAAGTGAGCAAGAAATATGTATTCTGTGATACGCATATTATTGCAATAATTTTATTTGTAAATACTGTGTTGTAGGACAATGAGTTGTTAGTGAATGAACAAAGTTAGAAAAATAAAAGGACAATGAAATGAAATGAAAGCATGAATGATTAGTTTAACGGTTTATTTACAAGAAAAATATCACAGTATTTACAAATAAAAAAACAAAACAGCAATAAAATCTCAAATGTTTTCAGTGTTATCTTTAAAGTATTGATCAAGTCACTACTTCATTACTTAGCAATAGCGGTTCTAATTTTGTAGGACAACCTATTTCTATAGCTGTATTCCTTTCAAGAGTTTAGAACACTCGAGCTACTCGCTTCAGTGTCAGTCGCACACTTTTCGAAAGGAATAAGCGCGTAACGCCCCGGAGCTGTTCCGGAGCTCTTCGTAGGGGTGAAAGGAATACAACTTACAACAAAAATATAAAGCCCGTATTAAATCTGTGTATTTTTCAGTGAATTTTTTATTGTAGTTCAGGGTGACAACCGTAAAACTTCAAACGCAACATAAATCAGCATTATGAAAAACAAAATAATGTTGGCACCATGGACTACAAGAAGAAATACACGGAAAAATACATAGATGTAATACGGGCTTAAGTCAATAGTTTCATCTGCTAAAGAAAAACTACAGTCAAAGGAATCATAAAATACTTAAATAAGTAAATAAAAAAACATTAAAGTGAAAGTCACTAATTTCTCGCACTAAAATGAAAATACCGTAATGGCAAGCAAGAAGCTCAGTTGAGCGACTATAAAATACTGAAATTGGTAATTATTAAGAAATCCCAAATATGCTTAGGAAATTATACTTTGATGCCAAACATAAAATTATCAACCCACAATGAGATTGCCTCAACCGTCAAGCCAAACATAAACAAAACAAAATCCAATTTGTAATTTTATCGCACCTGTTCTCTTCGTTAGGAGACGGGGTCCTGGTTTCTTGGTCTGTGGTGGTGGCCTCAATATCTGACAAATTCGGATAAATTAGTCCTGGCTTTGGTGGGGAAACTTTTATGCGCTTGACCTCTTCTAATACTGAAACCACTTTGTGACTATCAGAATCAGCTAGAAAAGAAATAAATAAAAGCAAATAACAATGACATTATTGCAGGGTTACTACTTACTTGACAATCTATTCCCACTCTTCCTTTTCTCAGCTGACTTTCTTTGTTTCCAAGTGTCTACAATACTGACATGCTTTCCCTTCAACATTGCAGCTTTTTCATCTACTTCTTCGTCAGATTCTGACTGATAGTCACTTTCTGGAGCTTCTTCAATTTCATCGTGCTTAGAAGTCTAAAACATTGATTTTAATAAACAAATTTATAAGCAAAATTCCATTATATTACCTCTTTATTCTTATTAAACCTATTCAGTAACATATCAATTTCCTTGGCCCGTTCCTCCTTGGCCTTATTAGCAATTTGTTCTTCAGAAATGGTAGATTTGTTTCTATTCTCCATTAAAGCAGCCATTTTGCTTGCTATACTTCCACCTTGATGTACCACAGCTACTGTAGGCACATTTGAAGATTTAGCAACAAACTTGGGAGAGCTAGGAGTAATTACTTTCAATTCTGCCATTTGTGGAACTGGAACAGGATTTTTTTTACTTTTAACACTAGTGTCTTCTTTTTTCTGAGGTTTAGTGGCTTCAAATAAATTCTTATGAGCCTGAATCAAATTCTCTTTAGGCTTAGTGGCTCCAATAAATTTACTTTCGCAAGCCTTCATTGTGGTGTCCACTTTAACGGGAGCAGACATTCCGAAAGCAGCCTTAGGAATCAAGGCTTCGCCTTTATTTTTTTCAAATAATGCTTTACGTTCTGCGAGGCTCAACAAAGCAGGGTCTTTGGTTGGTTTCGCAGCTACAACTTCTGTAGCGTTTTGCTCGAACATTGCCGCTCTATTTGATATAGCTCCTGATCTAAATTTATTAGGAGATTTTGGTGTTTGAATTTCAACTTCCTCAGGTATTTTTTGGGAAGTTTTCAATTGTTTCTCCTCCTGTGAATTATATGAGTAAACTAAACGGGAAGACGATTGGGTTCTGGTAAAACCCTGTGATTCCTAGAAGAATTATTTTATTTGTTGAAAAAGATAACTAATTAGTGCACCCAACTAACCAATATTATTGAAGCAGAATAAGTCTAGGGTTATAAAGGAATTACAGGGAATTAGCCAAAAAATTATTTATAGAAGCAAGAAATTAACTTACCAAAGTATCCAACACTTTCTTGTCCCAGTTGATTTGTTTTGGGTTACCTTCAAATCCCCCTTTCTTAGGACTACTATTAGTCTCTTTTGTATAAGTATTTTCCCTCTGGTACAAAGCTTTCTTAGGGCTAGATTGGGGACTATTGTTGGAATTTTCTCTCTGGTACAAAGCCTTTTTAGGACTAGACTGAGGACTATTTTTAGCCTCTGTTCCCCTCTGGGATGAAATTGCCTCGTTTGTAGAGGGATTTTCCATCTGGTAGACTGTTTTTTTGGGGCTAGTTTGATTGTTAGTAGGCGGCGAAGGGGCTTTAGGCTTCTTTGATGAAACTTGTTGTGTGGGAGGTTGTGGTGCTGGTGGTTTCCAAGTTTTCTTAGGCGAATTTGGTTTTTTACCCACAGCACAAGACTGCAAAAAAAGTGTAATTAAATAATAACAAAGGTGCTAGAACAAAAATTACTTACAGGATGACTTAAATCATCTTCCCATTGATTAATAGTATCAGCCAAATTAGCTAGTTTACTCAAGCCCTTTCCACACTGGCCAGTTTTTTTTGTACGAATATTTTCGTTCTCTTTATCATTTTCAATGCTCTGGTAGAACTTAGCTTCTGTTCTGTGAATTGGGGATGAAATATCAGCCTCTTCACCACCTTTAAATTAATTTTATGAAAAAATATATTTTCTAAACTTATATCATTATTTTCTTACCAGCATACAATCTTCCAAGCCTATTCAACCTATTTCTGGACTCTTCCCTCAAACCAACACATTCATCTTCCTTTCCTTCTTCACACTCCTCAATCTCTACTTGTAATCTCACATTTTCAGCGCTGTTCACTTTAATTTCCATATTAAAGTCGTCCCTTTGAATGTTCAAAGTTTTCGTTTGTTTACCAGGGGAGCCTTGAAGATCAGAAATGACGCGTGTTATTGAATTTTGTCGTTTAAATATGCCTAAAATGTTTGGTTTGGTACGGATAGATTTTTAGAATGAGTGTTCTAACATTGCCTAATGCAAAATATTCTACTACTTAGTTACATTTAATGAATACCTCAATATATAAGTTTTTTTATTTCCATAAAAATCTATCATAAAGTAGGCACCTATCTAAAAGAATAATAATTCTATCTAGCTTTGTTTGTTTAAAAGATTAGAACTATGAAAGGGGATTGTTGAAGAAACTGGAGTAGGTATGTCCAAGTTCCCTTGCATGGGCCATACCTCGGAACTCCATCTTTTCATACAAATATCTGGGTTGTTGGTTGTTTAGCCAAAATTAGCTTGTGTGGGTGCATGCAAACATGCTTCCATTTTCTTTCATTCATGTTTAGCCACCAAATGTCTTTCAAGTATGAAGAACTATGGGTTTCTTTGTGGAATTTGTGATACGAAAGGAACACAAGAATTCTGATTTTTCTGTAGCCTCCTTGCAACTTCAGCACATAATTCATATATGGTGTTACAATAGTCTAATTTGGAGAGTACCAAAGAATCGCACAGTCTTAACTTAGCACTTTTGACAAGATAGTTTTTCAAATTATAAAGACCTTTTAATGTAAAAAAAAAATATCTACTTTTTCATTCAATATCAGTTTTTTGTCCATGATACGGCCCAAGTTTCTAACATATTCACTAAATCTTATTGCTTCACTATTCAAACTAAGCTGACCAGCTATCTTTCACATTCCTTCCACCTTCAAACACAATGGCATCAGTTTTAGACAGATAAATTTCAAGACTCTCCATATTTGTTCAATGGATTAAACTTTGTATATTTTTGTTTAATGAACTAATTGCCTTGAAAGCTAAAATTATACGTAAGTTGTATGTCATCTGAGTAACAATGAACTTTACAATACTTCATTATGCGCTTCAAGTATATGAGGAACAAATTGGACAGCAAAGGACCCAACATTGCCCCTGTGGGACTTCCTTCTGCACAAGCAATTTCTGGGAGAGTACCAGGCCAATTTTACTTGTTAATTCAACAGTTTGGTGTCTGGTAAACATGTGATTCTTAAACCATTGCAAGTGTATATCTTGAACAACATGACACAAAAGCTCCCAGAGTAAGAAGGTCATGATTTGGACATGTCTAAAAGGATAAGGATGGTTATTCGATTCTTTTCCAAAGAGATCATTATATCGTGGTCTTGAGCGTGGTTTATCTTCAACAGTGCTGTGCTGGTTCTGTACGATTTTCTAATCCTGATATTTCATTAAGCAAGATACTGTTTTCTTCAGTAAATGACAAAAGTTGTTGATGCACAAGTTTTTCAAATACTTTTAAAGCAGGCGATAAAATGCTGATGAGGCGAAGATTAAACATTTGATGGAACTGAGATATTTTTTTATGTCTAAAGAGGTATTATCTTCGAGTTTTTCCTTGCGCCTGGGAGGTGACCGCTAATTAGATATGAGTTTACAATGTTCAGAAGGGCCGAGCAACAATATGGTAAAGCCAACTTCAACATCTGGATCGAAATGCCATCCAGATCTTATAGCGTTAGATTTTATGACTGTAGAGTTTTATGTAGTTCATCCAGGCCTCGATCTAGGCTAGTACGATGAGGTTGAATTTTACTTGAGCCGTTTTAAACAGTGCATAAAATGAGATGGGCAGCTTATTATCAGAATTTATATCATTTGAACATTCATTGGAATATTTGTTCACCTCATCAGGCTTCAACTCATCTATAGTCAAAAGATTTCCACTTTTGCTAGTAGGCCCCCTAGATTTCATGATTTTCCAAAATCCAGTACGTTTTCTTTTCTTTTTTCACACCCTTACTGACATATAACAATAAAACAGCCAGGCCGATTTTCGATTCTTTATTGTTTTTGTAGTAGGCTTCATTTCGTGTTTTTATCATTCATTCAAATTGTAGGTCATCCACGGAGCGTGTCGTTTTTTCAGAATAATGGGTCTAATGGAACATAGGGAGGAGAATAGAGAATATTGAGCTTGCAGAAAGAGCAAAGAATATTCTAGTGCCAAATGATAGTTTATGGAAAACTAAGACAAGAATGTATGATCGGTTTTCCTCTAAAATTAACCGTTTAGGTTCTACAGCCTGTCAAAGTTGCAAAAAAGTCAATTTTCAACTGTCAATATTTCCGAAACAGTTGAAGATAGGTATAGGACATGATACATGAAATAGGTTCAGAATTTAACGTAGAATTTGAAAATGAAATAAAAAATTGGTGTTTGTAAAATGACAAGAAAAACGGAAAATGGAGGATCCTGCCTGGATCACTTCTTTATCAGGTGCAAGAACTATCTCTTCAGTGATGTAATTTTAGAAAACGATCTTACGGATCACAACCCCATCTTACATAACTTTACGTTGGAAGCACCAATAGCTAGTGCAAGTAACTTGAGCTCATACAATAAAATTGGTTATAATAAGTTATCTGAAAAAATAGAAGGAGAGAGATGGGGTGGTGTTCTGCAGGAGATGAATGTAAATTTGAGTACTAATCTATTTTGTAGATAGACTGAAATCCATGATCTCTGAAGTGACTGTAGTAAAGTCAATTACAAATAGAAAAAAAAGATTGGAACTATGGATCACTGGTGGCCTGTTGATATCCCTTAGAACTAGAAGTAAACTAAAAAATTAATGTACAACAAATCAGACAAGTTCAAATGAGTATAAAACTTACAGAAATATGCTGAATAAACTTATAAAAAATGCCAAGTATGTATATTACCAATCTCTCGCTGAAAGAAACGCCAATGATCCAAAAAAAAATGTGGTAGGTTATCAAAGAGGCTACCAATGACTAGAGATCGATAACGTCAATAAAATGCATAATGAAGAGGTATCAGATATCTGACATAAGAGAAATTGCAAGTGAATTTAACTCTTACTTTTGCAGCATAGGAAAAAACTTAGCTAAGCAAATTGCAGAGGGCATTCAAGAGGGGTATGTGTGTGGAAAGAGAAGTGTAGATTCTTTCTATTTGGGCCAGGTTACAGAGCATGATGTTCTTAGGAAGATAGGAAGTTTGAAAAATGGGATAAAGGGAGGAGAGGGTCTAAGGAAAAGTTGGTTGTCCCTCTGAGGCACGTTATTAATATAATTTTCAGAGAAGAATTTTCCCAAAAGTCTTAAAGAGCACCGTTATAATACCAATGTACAAACAAGGAGGTAAAAAGTCAACTAACAATTATAGACCAATAGCACTGATGAGTACTATTAGCAAAATTGCTGAGAAGTGTCTTAGAAGTAAACTAAGATCATTCTTGGAAAAAAATAAGCTATTAAACATATAGATCAATAGGCATTTAGAAAAAACACTGAGAATGCTCTTGTAAGGGTGACAGAAAAAATATTGAGGGACCTTGATCAGGGGAAAAAAAATGATTTTTTCTTGTACCTGAGAAAGGCTTTCGACACTGTGGCTCACCATGTTCTACTAAGGCGCCTGGATCACATTGGAATCAGAGGAATGCCAAATAAACTAATTAAATCATATCTGACAAAAAGAAAGTTAGTTACAATGTATCAGGATCAGGACAAAAAAATGAGGCAAGAGTAGTGGAGCATGAGGTGCCGCAGGGTACGGTCCTCTCAACTTCGCTATTCAATGTATATGTCAATAAAATAATGGAACAGCTTCAACAAGGTGACATTTATTGCTTTGCAGATGACACTGCAATTATAATAAGCGGGGTGATTGTGATTTAGTGAGACAGAAGGCTGAAAGAGCACTACAAAAAGTTAAAATATGGTTAGACATGAGTTTACTCTCTCTGAATATAGACAAAACCAACTTTGTTAACTTCTCACTTTCCAAGCATACCCTGCCTGGAATGCAACACCTTCGAGTTCATGATCCATAATGCAAATTGGACATGCAATGTAAGTGTGATAACTTCATTAAAAGAAAAACATCGATAAAATACCTGGGGGTCATATTGGATGAAAATCTGAATTGGAGAGAATATGTTACCTATGTAACTGCAAAGGTAAGAAAAACAATTTACAAGTTTTATGAGTTAGGAAATATGTTACCATTTAGGACATTGAAAATGATTTACTTTTTTTTGGTTGAATCTGTTGGTAATTATTATGGGTTGGTTGTTTGGGGTAATGCAGGCTCAACAATACTGCCAAAACTAAGTGTGGTTCATAGATAGATAATAAAAATCATCCTTTTCAAAAAGAAAAGATACCCAAGTGACCTTGTTTATAAAGAAAGTAGCTTACTAACCATATAGACCAAATGTATATTAAATCTGTGGTAAGGTTCATGTGTTAGAATTCTTACTACAAAGCATGGTCTTAATACCTGGAGTACTGCACAAGGAAAAGTTGAGCTGCATAACCCAAAACATACAATCTGTCAGAACCATATACATATACTGTGTGCCCGATAGTATACAGGGTGTCCCAGGGAAAACAGTCCACTCCGATTTATTGGGTTTGGGATGAGAATCTGGGAAAACGCTCGGACACGTCGATGTTTGATTTGAGGGGGAACAGGTAGATAATCCCAACTAAGTTTAATTTATCAAGGAAACCCGGCGTACACACAGTATTCTAAGTACTATAGTGCACCTTATCTTATTAAGCAGTGGAAGGAAGATAGGGAGGATTTGCTACAGCAAGGGCTATTGCTGTAAGGGTTTATTTTGCTTATTTGTTTCCACATTAAGTTGTAGTATATTTGTGTACATTGTGAACTATTGCTGAATAAAGAAATAAAGAAATAAAAATCAAAAAGTGCCATGATACAGTGACTGAAATGATTTAATTATTGATTGACATTCTTAATTTAATACACTTCACTCCAATTTATCAAACTTGCATCCATTGAGGTTGATTCATATCAATGTTTTTATAATTTCAAAAATATTTCTTGTCTTCGAATATTTCTGTAGGCAATGACAGTTCTCCAAAAATAGCTTGATGAACAGATATTGCAGCATCAATTGTGCCGGAGTCAAGGACAACGAGGTCAGCACTTATACAAAGAATGTCAATCAAGGATTCTGAGTTACTTGCTATTCTTGTAGGGTGTTTAATGACATTTACTTCTTCAGAGTACCTGTTTTGTTTGGGTACTACTCCAATAGCAAATATAGGCATATAACTTCAATTTCAAAGCTTTACAAACATACTTATTAGAAAGTTCTCGTGCGTCAGACGCTACGCTAAAACGGTACCGCTAACAATACGGTATTTTACATGGTATTTTATAGTTCTCGAGCACGAAGACACATAAATCCTCTAAGCCCTTATTCTGTTTACATTTTGACAGCTGAGTTGAGTAATCTAACCCCACTCTTTTTGCTTGTTTTCTAACTTTTATTTATTCTGAAGATTCCTGAGCTTGAATAATTTTTCCTTGGTGTTTGTTATGGAGGAATTATTAGAAGTTGCTGTTTTGGCAGACATAAATGGAGCGTAAACTAGTTTTGACATAGCATAGCCTTACGGTAAGGCATCCGGTAAGTTCCGTTAGATAGCGGGCTCCGCTAACACTAATACCGTAAAAACTGTCATACTTGTCAAATAGCGTTACAGTATTTGAAATTTGGACGTCATGAGAACTCTCTATTAACAGTAAAACGCTAATAGCCTCACTCATAATTTTGTATAAAGTATAAAATCATTCTTATAAAGCTAACACAAACAAGTTATCAAATTATTTGTAGAAAAACTAGCCTCTTTACTACTATAAGTGCATCAATTTGTTAATAAATAAATTATAATTTTATTACTTGCTAAATTTCTAGAGGTAAACTATCAAATATCATTCACAACTTAAAAACAGAATGCTAATGCCTACATAATTTGTTCTGTTCTGTTCTAATAGATACTGTTTGTATTCTTATTGGGTAGCTAAGAAATTCTTTGTTGAATAGAAATTGGCTTGAAGCCAAAAATGTTAAATATAAATTGCACTAGCAGCTATTCTTGATCTTCAAAAATTCTCCTGATTTAATAATATTAAGCTGAAGCTAAGGTGATTTAGGTAGGTTTTTCCAAGAATTCAATTCATAAACCAAATTATTATGCATAATTTATGGCAAAGCAGGTACACATAAATACAATAATTATAAAGCTTTGAAATTATGGTAGGTACCTACTTGTTCGCAAAACCATGAATAAATTAAAATCTTACTACTAATTCCTAATTCCATACATTATTAAGAATTGAGCCAAAACCTTGGAAAAACACAAAGAAAAAGGGACTTTTCAAGGCTATAATTGCAATATTATTGCAAATGCAACTAAATATATCTACTTAGTAAATTCATTTGTAAATACGAAGCTAAATAAGGACCAATATATCCAATATTCACTCCAAAACTCTTACCTTGAACATCAAACTCAGTCCTTGGAGAAATCCTTGAAAGATTAGTTTCAGATCGAACCTCTTTAGGAGGAATCTTTTGTACTTCAATCAAATTGGGCTCAGAGACAGCAGTCTTATTTTCACGAAGAGGAGTACTCTCTTTACCATAAGTCTCTAGGAGCCTCTGGCGTTCCCTGGCTCTTATTAAGATATTCTATCAGAAGAATTTGGTATGATATTAGATAGACGTGATATATTCACCCACAAGGGTCTTATTTATGACTTTAGAGCTCATCTGACTTGAAAAATACCAGTAAAAAATGCATCTACTTACCTCAGTGAAAGCATCCATATTTGCCTAAGCTTTATTTCTTAACAAAAGCATACAAATACCATTTAAAAACCACACAGACACGTTTAATTACGTTGTATAACGTAGAACAAATTAAAACACCACAAAATTGCAGTTAAAAGCTTGTATACTCCTTGATTTCTATGAAATTACGACTTTAGGTAAAATTAATGTATAAGGACAATCTATCGATCAACCAAACAAAAAGCCGTTTGTGATTAATGTCAAAAATGGAGATTTTCTAAATTTAAAAAATGACAGCCAACGGTCAACGACGCGAGCGCCATCTGTTGTGTGTATTATCCAACAAACGTTTTCAAAATCATTGGAGAATCTCACCCCGGAGTCGGAGTACTCGGTACTTGCCTATTTTTAAAAAGGAGCAGAAGATTTTAACCAACGTCATTGGATGACAACCTACCACTATTTTTGACGTCAGCCGCAGACCTCAATTCTTAATCGTCGTAATATGCATTACTAGGTCAGAAAAACGAATTCCTAAACGTTAAACTCACATTTAAAATCGTCGAAAAATTAACTAAACCAACGCCTGAATCGCAAGCGATCCATCGAGGTCTGCGGATGACGTCACCACTATCGAGTGCTGATAGTGGCGACGTCACCCGCAGACCTACCAGAGAACTGGCGATTGGCGAACGTACGCCTTAGCTTTTTTTTTTTTTTTACGGATATGCGCACTCGCAAGGAAATGTCCTATCACGCTCGAGAAGCGGCAAGTGCGCGGAAATGTCGGTGTATGTTGGTCTTGAAACGGTTCAGGTTGTAACCTGCATTATCCGTGATAGTACCCAGGGCCGCAACTAGGGGGTGGCGAACTAGGCGCCCGCCTAGGGCGCCGGAACATCGAGGCGCCTCTAATTTAATCCATCCATATTTCATAATCGAAAAAAATGCAACGGTTTTACGCGTCATTTGTCGTAGCATTGAAATTTATGAAATTACATCTCTCTTTGTCAATCATCAGCAATACAAATATCGATAGTAATCATATAAATTATTTCGTCAAACGCAGTGCGCGTGCAAAAAGCAGCAGCAAATTGCAATGTCTGTGATAAATTCAAGTACATATTGATGACGTAGCGCCCAAAATTTGTTAGCCAGAGATTAGCTTCGAGGTGAGCTTTGATCCGACCTAACTGAGCAAGAGCACTGTGGGCGACGGGGGCGCCCTCTGCATGCTGCATGCATTATCTCTTTTAACTCTTCTCTATAGCCGTTTACAAAAACTATAATCAGGTTAACCCGCGATCAGCAGCTGAATGTTTTCTATCTTTCCTTAATGAATGCGATTGAAAAAAAGGCAAAATATGTCTGTTGGCGATCGGGATAACCCGATCATAGTTTCCGTAAACGGGATCACCCCATTTGTGCTAATGTTCATTTGCTCTACCCACCCGAAGTCGCCTTCGGGCGGGAACGTCGGACGAGCCGAAGTCCGACCGGAGTATGACCCTCATCGAAACGAATGCAGTTGTTGTAGCGCAAATGGGTACAGCGTTGCCGTTCCCTCTCCATCTGGCGGGTATTTAAAATAGAAAATAGAATTCTATTTCGATATTTTTCAAGTATTGAGTGGGTGTGGTGTTTTGTTTACTTTAAAAATGGATTATTGGTTAAATATTAATTTATTTTAACCTTCCATCGCGAGTTTTATAACATCATTAGTCACGCTGTATCACAGAGATACATATACTAAATCATTGATAAAAAAATTGAACCATCTGATGAATTTCGGTTTTACAATTTCTATGTATTGATTCGGGTACTCAACAATCAAAGATAGAACATTTTCACTGAGAAAGAGATTCCAGAAGTTGAATTCTATTTTCGCTATCTTAATGTTTCGAGCGCGCTCGGACTGCTCGGAGTTTACCGAGTGTAAAGCCACTGTGTGCAGAAGCTAGTTTCTGGATAGGAATTAGCAAATAAGCTATCCAAGTGCTCCTAAATAGTCGAAGAAGAACAGTCATTCAGATTTTTTTCATTACCAGGAATCACCTTTTCTACATTTAAAATCGATGAAGAAACAAGCACAACCTGAATCGCAAGCATCCCATCGAGACTTGCGGATGACGTCACCACTATAAGAGGCTATGCTGCTAATAGTACTAACGTCACTCGCAGGCCTTGCCGACTCGAGAATTGGCGAACGTACGCCTTATAAGGAAAAGCAATCCTATAGTTTATGATTCTTGCTATGCAAGTGTTTCCAAATAGTCAAAAAAAATTTGATCAGTTAATCATTAAACTAAATAGAGATTTTTTCTCATTATTAGGAAATGGAAATTGTTGGCTTCACGTTTAACTAGTTGGTGGTTAAAAGCTAAATTTTTTCTGGATAGGACTTAGGTGCTCAAGTGCTCCTAAATAGTCAAAGAAAAACATGAATTAGTTATATTATTTGAATTATAGATTTTTTTTGTATTATTATAGGGAACTGAACTACTGGCCTTACGTTTACTTGGGGGTGTAAATATTTGCAGCGAAATTGATAACACTGATAACAGTGGCTATAATGTTGTAATAATTGGAATTAGGTGCTATCTTAGTGCTCCTGAATAGTCGAAGAAAAACTTGAACTATCTAAAACTTCAACTTTTTGGGAGCACTTAAATAGCACCAAATTCCAATACAACATTTTAGTCGCAGTTTTCAGATTCGCTGCAATGCAAATACATCCCCAAGTAAATGTAAAGCCAGCAATTCCTTAATGAAAAAAAAATTTGTACTTCAGTTTAATAATTAACTGATTCAAGTTTTTCTTCAAATATTGAGAAGCACTTAAATAGCACTAATTCCTATCCATAAACATTTTAGCTCTGACACACCACCAACTGAACGTGAAGCCAATAATTTGCCAATAATGAAAAAAAACTGTAATTCAGTTAATAATTAACAGATTCAAGTGTTTCTTTGACAATTTAGGAGCACTTAAATAGTAGGTACCTAAATTCAATCCAAAAACATTTCAGCCTTTAACGGTTTAACGGCCAATTTCATAATAGAGAATTAAAAGTTACTTTAGCTAAATAGACTTTTAGGATGGGATTTTTCTACTTCAAATGGACCTTTATATTTAAAGTTTACTTTAAGTTGATTATGAAATTGGCTGTAAGCCTCTAACACACCCCCAATAAGTAAACGTGAATCCAGGAATTTCCTAATATTGAAAAAAAAATCTGTAATTCAGTTAATAATTAACTGATTCAATTTTTTCTTTGACCAGGTATTTAGGAGAACTTTAAAAAGCATATTATCTAAATTCTGATACCAAAGAAAAATTTAAAAAAATATTTTTCACTACAGGGGACTGCTATATTTCATATTAACCTAGCAATCCCTTCGTTTTTTTCCATATGGGACTGCTAGGTTTATTGACCTAATATTCTGGGAAATCAATAAATAATACAACCCCATATGATTTTAAATCTGGGGAGATACTTTGATAGGTATATGTATTATTGACTTTACGTTTATAAATAATTTTACACGTCTGTATAAACTCTACAAGGACTCTACGCTTTAATAAATAAGTATATTATATATTTCTAAAATCTTAACTCTACTGTAGACTGTAGATAATAAAAATAAAGTCCACAATCATTCACTAAATACAAATACATTTTTTAATTTATTTTTATTATTATCAGCAATATCAGCTGATTACACCAGATGTTCCGCGCGCCCGCCGCGTACACAAAACCTTCATAAGCTTCAACTACTCTTGCTACTCCTCCGCGATCATGTTAACTGATCCCGATCATAGCCGATCGCGTTCGTGAGTAGACCATTTGCGGATTAGCACAAATGCACAGTAGCACAAATGGAGCCATCTCCCGTAAACAGCTTTTACTTTTACAATAGCTTCGTTCGCGGTAAGGATTCTGAACTGGTTCGAAACTATTTCGCATGCGCAGTTCAAGTAATGGCGTTCGCGGATCACAACATTCCGAACTTTTAGTTATGGTTCTGAATTCGCGGGTCAACCTGAATCGTTTCGGAACCGTTTCGGAACTAGTTCCAGCGGTCCTAGGATTTTAGCAAGAACTTCAGGATTGATACATAACGTTCGTTCACGTATTAGTAAAATAATGGCGTTTTCCATTCGTTGCACGGAGGTGTACACTCAGTGCAATTTTTACATTCCATTTGATTACACATTATCAGTTTTTATTTTTTCTGCAAGCGTGCGTTTTTGACCACTTTCCCGCACGCATTTTTTTTCTTTCTAGCGTGCGGAAAATGCGTTTTCACGCACTGATTTGCGTGCAGAAAGTACCACTTTTCCGCATTGCGTGGGTGAAAAAAAATTTACCGCACGGCGTGCGCAAAAAAAGTTTTTCACGCACGCTATGCCCGAGAAAAGTTTTTCACGCACTGATTTTTTTTTTTTCTCTCTATGTCATGCTTCTCAAAAATTGTAGACCTTTTTCGAAATTGCTCCACCGATTTTTCTCTGCAAGAAAGCAATTGGGTTTTTAAACTGACCAATATCGACCTCTTTAATGAGTTTTATACCATACTTGAATAATTAATTCTACCATTGTTCTACTTAAAATAAAAATAATTATTGTTCTGTTGTTAAAATTATTGCGTTATAAAACTTCATTAAAAAATCAAATTTTCGGCCATTTCTTTTATCAGTAGAGCCAAAAACAAACAAAAAAACAATATGTTAATTTCCGCACGCTCGTAGGAAAAATGTTGTACCGTACCTAACACGAGCGTAAAGTATTTTTTCCGCACTTACGGCTTGCATGAACTCCGGTGATAACTTTCCGCACTTGTTAGGTAAATAACTATTCCCGCACTGCGTACCTGGAACACCTGTATAGAATTTACTGAAAGCAATGAAAAGCTTACCTGCTTGAGTTGCGTGGTTATAGGGTTGCTATGGTTATCTGATTAAAAGGTTATCAAAGTTTATGAAGCGAACTGTAATTTCAGTATCTATATTAATAATAATTAAAAACATTTTTAGAATGTCATCTTGATAAAATTTTAAAAAAATATATGAAGTGTGTGCTTGTAGAAAAAGTCTTGATCCTAACTTTTGCGGAAAGTAACTTTCCCGCACTTAACTCCTTGCCCGAACTCCGCTTCGCGTCGTTCGGGGATCGGCAGTTCGCGTGCGGGAAAGTATAACTTTCCGCCTTGTTAGGATAATAACTATTCCATTTGAAAACCAGTGCAATTATGTATGCACTCAGTGCGCATTTTTTGGGACGAGCTAGGAAGGCTCGTGGAGAGCCAGTGTAGTTTGTTTTGTTTTTGTTTACATGTACCGTAAATAAAAATTTGGAAAATTTCTGCAAATACCTATTTCCAAAGAAAAAGCTGTTGCACTTTTGAATTTATTATGTAGCATCAGCGAAGATGAGTGTGCTTTTTTAATACTTAGTACCTACTACCTAGTACGTAAATATTTTTGATTTAATGTGTCTAAATTATATAGGTACATATTTCGAAAATATATTGAAAAAATTTCAAGCAAAAACCAAAGCATCAAAAAATATATCTATTGTTACTTTTGAGAAGGCGGTAGAGGGGCGCCAAAATTTGGACTTGACTTGGGCGCCAAGGGTTCTAGTTGCGGCCCTGATAGTACCTGTAGAAGAGAGATATGCATCCGTTTTTCCGTCAATCGATCCGGAAGTATTCCTATTAAGCTTACTTTTCTTGCATCCGTTTTTCCCTCAATCCGTTGATCCGCCAAAATATTGGAATACTTCCGGTTCAACGGATTGACGGAAAAACGGATGCATGAAAAGTAAACTTAAAGCTTACTTTTCATGCATCTGTTTTTCCGTCAATCTAATGATCAGGAAGTATTCCTATTGGTACAATATTTTGGCGCCAAAATATTGGACAAATACAAGGTTGTTTAAAACGAGGTTGCCTTTTATGGCGTCATCTGTATGCCTCAACATAATGCAAATCTCCATAAGGCACCCCAGATGCGTCATCAAGTTATCCATTACCAGACAACCTATGCTTTAGGAACCTTGGGACAGATAGGAATACTCCGGATCATCAGATTGACGGAAAAACGGATGCATGAAAAGTAAGCTTTAGCGTGGTGTCAGGTGTCACACATAGCGTTTACATCGCTGCGGCAAGCAAGCTCAGGTTTGACGGGATGGTGTAAGCCCATTGTATTAAATAGGAGCTGTCACATACAGCGTTGTACCGCGGATGCAACCGCATCATGCTGCGGCGGCACCGCACGACCATACGACTACAATAGAAAGAAAACAGGTGCAGTTGTATGCTTGTAGTCCCACTTGAGGTTCTAACGCAGCGGTTCTTGAGAAATTTTTGAGTTCGTGGTTTGTTTTTTCATTAAATTACATCATGTTTAAAACGTGGATCTATTGATTAAGGGTGGGTATTATAAAACTACTTTGAGAGTTAACTTAAAGTTAACTTCTGGAATTACATGTAATTCAAAAAGTTAACTTCAAGTTAACTTTCAAAGCAGTTTTATAATACCCGCCCTAAGTGCTTCCACGGTAAAAAAGCATTATGGGAGAAGAAGTCGAAAGAATACCTACTTGGACAAAAAATATAGAGAGAAAGCCTGGATGCAAATTGGAAAAAATATGAATAGGAATTGCATGAAGCTTGACTAGACGGAGGAGAAAGGTTATTAACCTTGGTTTCCACCAACTATTTTAGGGGACCCTTAACGATAAGTATTCCCTAAAATGACATTTTTACATAGAGAAATGTCAGTTTAGGGAATACTTATCGTTAAGGCTCCCCTAAAATAGTCGGTGGAAACTGCCATAAGAATCTTTTAATGAATTCGCCATGAATCTACCACGACCAAGATTCGACTGGCATAACAGCCCGTTAAAACGGATCCCGATGGGATAGTGTGACAAGTAGAGTTAATCGGGTCAAAACGCATCCCTTCTTGCCGCAGCATTTAAAACGCATAGTGTGACACCGCAATTAAAGTCTGGTGTCTGTCACACATGCATTTTCACCGCTGCGGCAAGAACGCTCCGGTTTCCGGATGCAACCGCATCATGCTGCGCCGACACCGCACGTCCACAATAGAACGAAAATACGTGCAGATGTATGTTTTTTGGATGATCCACCTCCTTTCCTAATAAACCCTCCGCTTTCAGAGCACACAGTTTCATAGCAGACACAATCTTTAATGAATGAACTAAAATTCGACTGGCGAAACATCCCGTTAAAACGAATCCCAATAAACCTTTTCACGTGGCTCCGGTTTAACAAACCGCAACATACGGCTCAAATTCGAGTGGTAGGTATAGGATTTTCACGCTATATTTAGGATGACGTCACATTTAGTAAATTTCTGCTGCAAACCTAACAAAACTAAAAGTACTTCTTAACGCATTCAAAGTAGGGGAATTTAAGATGTTTCTGGTTGGCAACGGCGCGCGACGTTGCATGATTTAAATAAACATTTTCAAATAGATAATGCGTGTCGATTCATTTCGTTATTTTTAGCTGTCAGTGATCTTGATAATTTATTATGACATCCTGGTAAATTATAAGAAAACAAACAGGCATTGACAACATTGTCAGTCCTTGTTCTATGACGTCATCCTAAATATAACGTAAAAAAACCTATATCCATCAAGTCACTTTGTAACCTGTACAACTATTCTTGACTTTACCTAGGTAGAAAATTTGACATTGTTAACAGTTAATGCACTGTTTAACTGTCAACACAGTCAAATTTTCTCTCGAGAGAAAGTCAAGAATAAGGCCTCTGGTTAGAAAACGGTGTCATTTCTCTAACCGTTTTGTAACCAGGTTAGTTTAAACCGGAGCCACGTGAAAAGAATTAATGGGATAGTGTGACAAGTAGAGTTCATCCGGTCAAAACGACGCATCCCTGTAAAAACGCATACTGTGACACCGCACATAGGTTGAGCAATCCTATTTGGAGGATTTTGGTCGTTGCGGCGGAAATGATCAAAATTAAACTCATATAGGGCAGGTTTCTCAATAGCAAGTTATCCCTGGGTTAAGCATAACTCCAGGGTAAGCATTGCAACTGGAACTGGACACGTTTACCCTAGAGTTTTTTCTCAATAGCGAGTTACCTCTGGCTTGGTTTCAACTCCAGGGTAAAAACGTGTCTAGTTGCGTTTACCCTGGAGTTGAGCAACTGGCCCATAATAACGAAATTGAATTGGTACAAAATAAGGTACTCAAACTAATATTGAAGAAAATTGGAGAACTTTATCAAAAAAATAATATCTTGAATATTGAACAAATGTATTATCGAAAAGCCTCACTACTACATTTCAATAAATCATAATAAACTAATAGTACAATACCAAAATAGAATTTCAGTAACAAGGTGACAAATACCATTAGTACAAACGATGTTGCAGACTGTGAAAATATCTTCACTTTGGATTGCACTGATTGCACTAAAGATATTTAACTTATTACCAAATATATATTAAAAAACACAAATAATAATTCTGAAAAAACACTTAAGACTAAAATTGAGAAATGCTTATGTCAAAACAAAACTTATGTAAATCTGTAATTAATAATATTTTTATTATTATTAATAAATAAACTCCTAACAAAATCTAGGTTTGGAATTACGATACAGTAGACTCGCGCTAGTGTGAACACATGGTTCTGTGAACCTCCCAGTAGTATGAACAGCCAGAATGATAACATTATGTATTCTGTAGTGTGAATTTTTGACAATCTCGGTAGTATGAACAATATATTCAACCCCGCATTTACCGTTTTCTGTCCACTTGTTGTTGTTATCTGTGGTTCCCATCCGATTCTGGGGTTCCCCGAATGTATTGAGACAAGGTATGCAGGGGGATGTTGAGGTTAACTTTCTGCATTTAGTCTATTACATGCAATAAACAAGTGCAGCGCGTCAAAAGCACCTGGAAAAGTTTGTGATTTTTTAGTTTGTTGTGGTGTGGTCAAGGGTGTGGTTAACCCATTTTGTTAAAATGTCGAAAGTCAAAAAAAATGTTAACTCTCTATAAGAAGTCTAAAATTATAGAAGATCACCAGCAAGGTATGAACATAACAAATCTATCTAAAAAATACGGAATTGCTAAGTCAACCGTTTGTTTGATTATTAAAAAAAAAGATAAAATAATGACCGTTGTAAACCAAAGTGTTAGGCCAAGTAGGATTAAAAAACGTACTCTTAAAAACGCTGAATATCCAAAGATGGAAAATGCTTTGAATAAATGGTTTCTTAGACAAAGAGAATAACATTTTCCTGTAACAGGTGAAATGTTAAAACAGAAAGCCCTTCAATTCCACCAAAATTTGAAAAAACCTAATGAAACCTTTAGTGCCAGCGACGGATGGTTGCAAAAGTTCAAAGTTTGATATGGGATCAGGTTTTTGAAAATGTCTGGCGAAAAACTATCTTCAGCCCTCGAGAATGTTAGTCCATTTAAAGTAGAATTTATGCAACTAATCAAGAATCAAGAATTAACACACCACCAAATATACAATGCTAACGAGACTGGATTATATTGGAAAATACTACCCGATAAAACGTATGTTTCAAGCTTTAAAAGAACTGCACCCGGTCTCAAACAGTCCAAACAAAGAGTTACATTTATGGGCTGTACAAACGCACTAGGATCTCATAAGCTGAAGCCACTTATAATTGGCAAGGCCAAATCCCCTCGATGTTTTAAAGATTTCTATAACCCCTGCATTTACAAAAACAGCAAGAACGCTTGGATGACCCAGGAAATTTTTAAGGAATGGTTCTTTAAGCATTTTGTTCCAGAGGTAAGTTTTTAGATTGTCATTTTGTTTTTAAATTCTTTTACTTATCAATGTGTTTTTTTAGGTTAAAGCGATTTTAAAAATCCAAAAGCTTCCTATTAAAGCGGTGCCCTTATTAGACAATGCTCCTTCCCATCCAGTGGAATTAAAAACCGAAGATGGGGCTATATTTGTCATGTTTATGCCGCCAAACGTAACTCCCCTTATTCAACCAATGGACCAGAACGTTTTAAGGTTAACGAAGCTGTACTATAGAAACAATCTGCTAAAATATGTGGTGCCTAAGGGTGAAAATATGGCAGAAACCTTAAAAAGTCTAACAGTGAAGGATGCTATTGTTTATTTGAACCAAGCGTGGCAACAATTAGATCCCTTAGTTATCAAAAAATGCTGGATCCAAATTTTTAACGAAAACGATGTTGATGAAGACGACCTTCCCCTAGCCACAATTCGAGAACAACTGATTAGCCAACAATTGGAACCTATTGTTCAGGAAACCATTGAGTTACTGCAAGTCATTGGACCGCTTAGTAGAAAAACACAGAAATAAATTACTCTTCCTCTTTATTTTTCTTCCACGTTCGTAAAATAATAATTATTTTTTTTAATTTCTAGGGAGAATATAACAACAAGGATGTTGAAAAATGGAACCAAGATTTACAAGATATCACAGCGGCATAATCGGAAAGCCAAAGTGCTGAATCGTTAGTTGACACAGACATGGAAGATGTTGAATCTGAGACAGAAGCTGAGGAACCTAAAAAAGTTTCTGTTGCAGAGGTCCTGACAGCTCTAAAAGTGGTTTCGCAATGGGCGGAGCAAAACAATATTGGCGTTAATGACATAGAATGCCTAAGAAAAATTCAAGACAAAGCGGTAGCCACCCAGTGGTCAGTTAGAAAGATTCAAACAAAAATTACATCTTATTTCAATAAATAAACTTGAAAATTTTACTTAATAAATATGTTTGCAAGTAGCTATTGTTCTATTTCTCTCAAATTTTAAGTTTAAGGATCATTGCTGACAGTATTTTGCATTTTTAGGTAGACCTTCGATGGTGTGAACATCTCGATAATATGAACACGTCCGGTTTTTTTGTGTTCACACTAGCGCGAGTCTACTGTATTAGCATAGTGAAAAAATATCTTCACTTTGGATTGCACTGATTGCACCAAAGATATTTAACTTATTACCAAATATATAATAAAAAACACAAATAATAATTCTGAAAAAACACTTAAGACTAAAATTGAGAAATGCTTATGTCAAAACAAAACTTATGTAATTAAATCTGTAATTAATAATATTGTTATTATTATTAATAAATAAACTCCTAACAAAATCTTAGCTATTAGGTTTGGGATTAAGATATTAGCATAGTACATGGTGAATTGACTTCAATTCAATTCCCTACATTGTATTAACATCTGGCTAACAATGAAATTTAAAAAAAACTGAACTGTTCAAACAAAACAGCAAAGCTTTTTTTGTTTTTAAGTTTTAAAGATTGCTTTGAGCTTTCATCTCATTCTTCTTAATATAAAATGCTTTATTTTAAAAAAGAAATCAGTAAGTAATCTCATTTACAATCCCAACAACAATATAAAAAATAAGTAGGTATTTGACCTAATTAAGTAAAAATTATTGAGAATCAAAAATAGTTAGAAGCAAACAAAATTGCCTAAACTATCAAGCTTAAATCTTAGGTAGGCATAGGAGGGTATAGGTACATACATCTCAATCAATACAAGGTACAGATCTCGATGGTACAGGATACTACATATATCAAAAAATAAAGGCCTCAGTACCAGTTATGTAACTCATTTGAGGTCAGAAATAAATCCTTAAAAAAAAAATTATACTTATATGTGCTTGGCAAGTGAACATCTTACAGGCGAATTCTCATGCACATTTGTTTTGCGAATTATGAACCCAAATGCCAATACACAGTTATATCGGTTAATTAGCAAAATACTTGAAAGAAAAAAAAACTGTTATTAACCCACCCACCCATTAACCTTTCCTTGGTTAAGATTCTATGTGTCACTTAACAAAAATCTAGATATTTTAGAACAAGAAAAACAATATTCATTGTCAACCTGAGCTTTATGTTCAAATTGACCTTCAACTTTCTCATATCTTTCCTGGCTTGAGATGCTGTGATCTGGAAGTTCATTTGATACTAATTTGGAGAAACTAGTTGATTCGTCTGAAGTAAGGTCTTCAGTTGGTTTCAAAATATTACCCTAAAAATGTTTCATATTTAAAAACAATAATTATTTGAATTTATTTTTCTATTACCTTGCAAAGTTTACAGTTCCCAGCAACTTTGTTCTCATCCAAAGCCAATTTATCACCAGTTTTCACAACAGTGGCAACTGTAGCTGGATAATTTTCATTCAACTCATTGATGAATTGTTTCGCCAGTGCTTGAATTGATGCATATTGATTGTCTTGCGTCTGTCGTACAGTCACAGGTTCTAAGACGTGCAGAACATTATACAGTGCCACTTCTTTCTTGTCAAATGATCTCAGTGGCCTCAAAATCTTTACATCTTTGTCACGGTCGTCACAAAAGCCCTGAAATTAGAAATATTATTCATTCGTTATGGTCAGAGTCGGTTTACAACGAGTGAACAAAAATTTCGAATCAATTAAAAAAATAAATAAATAAATAAATAAATAAATAAATAAATAAAAAATTAAATTGAATTAAATACATAAGAGAAATAATAAGTCACTTAAACCCGAGCTTAAACCAAAAACAAAGGCTACACAACAATTACAAAAAAAACTAAATTAAAAAGTGACTATGATTTTTTTTCGACTCTTAGGCAGACTATTAAAGCAGAAATTGATGAAGCCTATAGATCTTACATAAGAAATACTGAATCATCAATAAAAGGGAACCTGAGAATTTTTGGAAATATATCCGGCAAAAACGGCAAAAATCTCGTATACCAGGATCAATGATTCTGGACCAATTGTCTTTAGAGTCTTCGCAAAACATAGTGGATGGATTTGCCAATTTTTTCAAAAGTGTATATGTTGCATCATCAAATCCCTTCTTAATTAACCCTGTCGAGCCCTACAACTCTCAAAATATATCTATTAATAATATTTCTCAGCTTGAAGTGTGCAGTGCACTCAAAAAATTAAAAGATACAAAAACTGCAGGTTATGATAAAATACCATCTTTTATATTGCGTGATTGCTCACCGTGTCTATCAGTGCCCTTACATCTTATCTTCAATAATATTTAAAAAAATAATATATTTCCGGAAAAATGGAAAAAACTAAGATTTGTCCTGTCTTTAAGGCAGTAGCGGTTCGCCCATATGGGCAAGGTGGGCACCGCCACCCTGGAGAGAAAATGGAAAAATAAGAAATACCTTTAATCAAAGATAATCCTACTTCGGAGTAGGATTATCTTTGCTTTAATACAATATTTGAAAACGCCGCGACCTTGAAAATCTAAAAAAAATTGCCCATGGCTGTTTTTTATTTTTGTCGCCCACCCTTACTTGGACACCACGAGCCGCCACTGCTTTAAGGCAGGTCAAAATAATAATATCACTAACTATCGACCTATCTCCATACTGTCCAACTTTTCGAAGGCCTTTGAAATCTGTATTCACAACAATCTCTTCCATCAAGTTAAAAACCTAATATCTCCTACTCAACATGGCTTCTTCCCACAGAGGTCAACTATCACAAATCTTAGAAGTTTCCTACAAAGAGCTTATCAAGCTATCAATAATAGGAAACAACTTGACGTCATATATACTGTGGCGTTCCTCAGGGAAGCAATCTAGCTCCTCTAATATTCGCTATTTTTGTGAATGATATCACCGACACTATCTCATCTAACTGTGTACTGTTTGCTGATGATCTGAAATTTTTTAGAATTATTGACACCATACAGGACTGCTCAGAATTACAAAACGACATTGACACCCTGTCTTCTTGGTGTATCACAAATAAACTTCCACTAAATATTAATAAATGCCAATCTATGACTATTTCCAAACTTCATAATGAAGTGAAGATTGCATATAGACTTGAAAATACCAATCTTTCAAGTGTAGATTCCATACGAGACCTTGGGGTAATTATCGACAGTAAACTAAGTTTTAATAAACATATTGACCAAATCGTTCAAGCTTCTTTGAAAACACTTGGCTTTATTATTAGGTCTACAAAAGATTTCACAAATACGGAGAGCTTGATTGCCTTGTACAACTCATTGATAAAATCAAAATTACAATATGCAGCTCTGATATGGTTTCCTAATTATGATGTACATGTTGACAGGCTCGAATATGTCCAGCGCAGATTTCTCAAGTACCTAAGCTTTAAGCAGGATGGCATCTACCCTCCACGGGGATATGACCACGCATTATTACTGGAAAGATTTAACTTTTTATCACTTAAGCAAAGTACAATTCTTGCCAGTCAATTGTTCATTTTCAAAATATGCAATAATTTAATTGATTCGGCTGAAATATTAAATTACTTCAATTTTTTGGTTCGCGCAGCAAACACCCGAACTCACCATAAATTTTATCTGGAAAACTGTCATACTAATCTCGCCAGAAATGCGCCTATATATAGAGCCTGCTCATGGCATAATCAATTAATACCCATTATTCTTGAGTTGGATCTTTTCAGTGGTACTGTAAAGTCATTTAAAACTAAAATTATATCACAGATAAAAAATGCTCTCCTGAATTAAATTGCTCTGGTAATTGTTTTAATTGATTATTGAATCTTGCATTTTTGTGGAGTATTGCTGATTAGCTTTTTGTCCTGGGGTTGCTGCGGGAAGCTGTTGATACTACTTAATATACTTAATTTACATCTGTTTTCTCTCGATTGTTAATTACAAACTATAGTTAGTTACTTCATGTATTTGTATATGAAGCATATGTCAAAACCTAGTTTTAAGTTTACAATAACATTTATCTAGTCTTTAATTTGAAATTATTATAATTGTCTTGTTATTGGGTTTATCCTGTTAGACAATAAATAAATAAATAACCAGTTTTGACATAAAAATATGCATAAGCATAAAAAACAGAACAGCTAAAAATCATTACTCTCTGGCACATCCCGATAGAATTCGAGAGGCAAATTGAGAGTGGACATGGGATTTAACACGTTCGCTGCCAACTACGAGTTAACTCGTAGTAGACAATCTTATTACAGGTGCCAGCTACGAGATAACTCGTATCTTGCATCGTGTCGTTCAAAGTCAAGTACGAGTATATTCGTTGTAAATACAGGCTAATGGGGGTGCCTGGCCTACGGGACATGTATAAGAATTTCACACAGACATGGTTTGTAAAAGATTTTTATTCTCAAAAAAACATTAGAGGACAAAACAAAAAAAAAAAAATTTCAAACATGGTAGCAACCATCAACACATAATGCAGGTTTTTCCTCACAAATTGCGCAGAAATACCGGCTTTCACGTCGTATTTTCTTATTTTCGCCTGATCTGATCTGGTCGTGTTTTTGTATTTTCGCCTGATCTCACGAGTTAACTCGTAGTTGGCACGCATGGATACTTTTCATATTCAGGTGCCAACTATGAGATAACTCGGAGGGTATTTTTTTGCAAAAATATGGGTCAGATACTACTTTGGATGAATATTTTATGTTATTTAGACCTATTCCGATTATAAAATATAGTTTTTCAACATTGGCATTATGGACCCGATCAACTGAAATCTCTCTGGCAGCGAACGTGTTAAACATAAGCGATGATGTGTCCAAGAGAGACGGCAATGTGAGGGCTAAAATTTGCTGTTACAAAGTGCGGTCGATAAGACTCTCTCTGCTCTAGTCAGTCTACACCACCAATAAATCAGATTAGCGTTTTTCTGAAAGACCAAACGGACATTCAACAGGCCATGGTTAGTCACACCCCAGAATGGTATACCATATCTAAGATGTGACTCAAACAAAGAAAAATTTACTGTTTATGCCAGATGGAGAATTTCTGAAATCGAAAAATTTTATTGATAGTGACTGGGAAAATTTTACTGTCAATTTTTTGGAGGTGAATATTTTATTTGTATGGTAGGGCAGAAGGTGTCAGAACAAAAACGGGGTGATTACGATTTGGAAGAGTTTTATCTTGGGGTTGTTTGATAGTGCCACATAAATTGTGAATTACTACTGGGTGAGTCACTACATATTAGTCGGGGAGCTGGCGTCAAAAACATGCAAGAGTTTTCGCAAGGCAGATATTTTCAAAATAGGTCGTACTTTAGTGCTAGAATGCTAGTGTACAGTCAGCACTCACAGTTCTGGGACAGCTGGCTCTGGGACGCGGGCAAAGTTGTAATTTTAAGAAGCATCTAAACTGTTTTCTCAAAGCTCAAAATTTATAGAAATTTTGCACATTATCTGTTTGAAGGTCACAGATAACGTATGTAAATCGTCAGACGTCTAGTTCGTTGCAAAAAGGGGGTCAGACGTCCTCAAAGTTTTTATTTTATGACATTTTCTTCGGTGTCCTGTCAAAATATATTTTTGCAGGTATTTGACAAATATATTTGAAGAAAATGCCATAAAATAAAAACTTTGAGGACGTCTGACCCCCTTTTTGCAACGAACTAGACGTCTGACGATTTACATACGTTATCTGTGACCTTCAAACAGTGCAAAATTTCTATAAATTTTGAGCTTTGAGAAAACAGTTTAGATGCTTCTTAAAATTACAACTTTGCCCGCGTCCCAGAGCCAGCTGTCCCAGAACTGTGAGTGCTGACTGTACACTAGCATTCTAGCACTAAAGTACGACCTATTTTGAAAATATCCGCCTTGCGAAAACTCTTGCATGTTTTTGGCGCCACCTCCTGGACTATATATTTTGACACCAACCTGCAGCCGTAATTACAGGTGATAGGTGAACAGTGTAAATACAAAAGTGGTAGCATTTTATCTGAACCACCAGAATTTTAAATTAGATTGAAAAAATGAGCAACACAAAATGAAGAAATATGTCAGTGTTCACTTTTTTAAAATGGAATGCACTTTATTTTCTTTCAAATTCTTAAAGTTCTTGTTTTTCTGATTCAGATTATATAATATATTAAAGCTTCTTTCAATAGTTTTGGAAATACCTAGAGTTTAGTTATTCATAGCCATTTGCACAGCTATCACTTGAGGAATATTTATTCTAAGTAGAGCTTTGAATGTTACTTTTGTTTCTACGAGAGTCACATTCAAAGCTCCACTTGGATTAAATATCCCTTAAGTAATAGCGGTGCAAATGGCAGTCAAAGACCCTATTCATGTATCAGAATGTTTTGTGAACAGGTGACAGGTAAATCAAGGTAAAATGTATTCAAAAAACTACTGTCTTTGAATAACTAAACTCCAGATATTTCCAGAACTATTGAAAGAAACATTTACATATTATCATATAATCTAAGTCAGAAAAACAAGAACTTTAAGAATTTGGAAGAAAATAAAGGGCATTCCATTTTAAAAAACTGAAGATCAACATATTTTTTTATTTTAAAATATGAAATGTTGTCATCGAGGTTGTCATAACTGACTTTTCAAAAATTTGAAAATGTCACATTTCTGTCCTTTCATTTTCCTGCTCCATTAAAGTCTGTTTTTTTTTTTAAAGATAATTCCCCAAGTCAGAAATTTAGTAACTATGTTGGCAACACAAGCCTTTTCTGCATAAAAAATTTGAAGGATTGACAATTTCACATTGTATTGCCAACGTAATGTCATTTTGACTTCTATCTTTAAAAAAAAAACAAATTCTACCTGTCCCATGACGGGGAATTTTTTCCCTCCTCATTTCCCATCCACGGACGGAAAATGGAGCAGGGAAGTATTTTCCGTCCTCATTTCCTGTCCTCATTTTCCGACCTTATTTGGTTCTCACGAATTTTTTTTTTTTCAAGAAATTATGGTTGAAAATAAAATAGTATACAAACCTCGACGGGAAACTTCATTGCTGTCTCGAGGTTCAGCAATGAAGTATTTCCCGTCTCGGATTGTAATATACTATTACTTTGCATTGTTCGTTTGATAAAGATAAAATGCTACAACTTTTGTTTTTCCACCTTTCACCTAAAGCCTGTAATTATGGCTGCAGGTGAGTGTCAAAATATGGTGACACCCTGTACATTTGAAAATAATTTTTCCTACGAGCGTGCGCAAAGTAGTACTTTTCCGCACGCATTTCCGGGCTCAAAGTTACACTTTTCCGCACTCAGTGCGGATACAGGCCTTATCCGCACTGAGTGCCGAAAAGTAATTATAATTGTCAAGCAACAATAAGTGCACCTGTCGACTTTGACACATGATGACAAATTTTTCCTCTGTTTCTATATCAGCCAACATCTATACAAACACTAAATATGAATTAACTTTGACACATTGTCAGATTTGTTCTCTATTTACATGCAAAAATCTACAAACTTTCTCATCAAATTTAAACGCTTTAAGATGAACAGCTCTGACGAGGATTTTCTGTTATTTTTTTTTTTGTTATTAATTTTTTGATAAATGCATAGGTTCCTTTTAAGTTAATTAAAAATAATTAAACAAATTATCGTTTTTTTTTTTTAAATTTTTGTTATTACCTACCTGATATGAAGCTCGTAGGAAAAATTTTGTTCCTAACACGTGCGCAAAGTGTCTTTTCCGCACGCAAACACGTATCCGAACTCCGCTTCGCGTCGTTCGTATAACTGTGCTTGCGTGCGGAAAAGTAACACTTTGCGCACTTGTTAGGAAAATAACTATTTCCTACGAGCGTGCGCAAAGTAGTACTTTTCCGCACGCATTATCGTTCTCAAAGTTACACTTTTCCGCACTCAGTGCGGATACGGGCCTTATCCGCACTGAGTGCCGAAAAGTAAAAATAATTGTCAAGCACCTGTCGACTTTGACACATGATGACAAATTTTTCCTCTGTTTCTATAGGTATCAGCCAACATCTATACAAACACTGAATATAATAAGCTTTGACACATTGTCAGATTTGTGTTCTCAATTTACATGTAAGAATCTACAAACTTCTTTCGCATCAAATTTAAACGCTTTAAGATGAACAGCTCTGACGAGGATTTCAATTTCCTGTTTTTTTGTTATGTAATTTTTTGATAAATGAATAGTTTCGCTTCAGGTTAATTGAAAATAATTGAACAAATTATCGTTTTTTTTTTAAATTTTTGTTGTTACCTACCTGATATGAGGCTCGTAGGAAAAATTTTGTTCCTAACACGTGCGCAAAGTTTCTTTTCCGCACGCAAACACTCATCCGAACTCCGCTGCGCGTCGTTCGTATAACTGTGTTTGCGTGCGGAAAAGTAACACTTTGCGCACTTGTTAGGAAAATAACTATTACCTACGAGCGTGCGGTAAAGTGCACTTTACCGCACGTATTTGCAAATGGAAAGTAGCACTTTACCGCACACTATGCGATAAAGTTAACTTTACAGCATAGTGTGCGGTAAAGTGAACTTTACAGCATAGTATGCGGTAAAGTGGACTACAAAGTGTGCGGTAAAGTGCACTTTACCGCATAGTGTGCGGTTAAGTAGAATTTGATATTTATAATCAAAAATCCTTTTTTTTCCAGAAAATGGATTTTTGATAATTTCTAAATCTAATCTAATTTCATTCATTAATCTGATTCAATAATTAATTTTATCAATGCCCTTTTTTGGAGATGTAGATGCTCATAGGTAAAATTTTGTACCTAACACATGCGGAAAGTGCCTTTACCGCCCTTAACGGCTTGACCGAACTCCGCTTCGCGTCGTCCGGTCAACTGCCGTTGCGTGCGGTAAAGTATCACTTTCCGCATTTGTTAGGTAAATAACTATAAAAATGTAGCTTTATTTTTACAATATCATTTGCCTGTTATAAATTAGTTAAAAATACTCACTGTATCAACAGGTACTTGTGATCCTCTGCCCAATGAAATGTTTGTCAGCAAATTTGCAGCTATATCGACTGACAATTCGGGTGTGAATATGAACTTGCAACTTAACTTTTTGGCTATTGAAAGGAGTATATTTCGCCTAAATTTTTCTTTAATTAGTACATAAAGTGGAAGCCAAAATTTATAACTTACCTTAATATGTTAGACACTTCCTTTTTGTTAGTATTGTTAATTTTTGTGGCAAATTTATTGTTAATAGCATCTCCGTCATTATCATTTAAATTTAAATGATTTAGATAAATAGTTACATCATCTTTCATGATTGACTCAGCAAAAGACACAAGATGCATCTTGAATTTCAGTTTTTCAGCTTCTGCAATTGCTCTAGTTATCATTTGTGACCTTTCGTCTTTTGTCAAATGGTACTGATCTAAAATAAATTCAATACATTTATAAAGAAGGAAGAAGCTAATAAGTAGTAAATTTATGAAAAATTAACTACTTTACGAAAAAGGTGGGTATTTCTTAATTAAAAATTCTATTAAATTTTGCTTACCTTCTAGGAAAACAAAAACTGGTTCAAATCTAAGCTTTTTAGGAGTATTCAGATCAAGACCACTTCTTATAAGATGCAATAAGGCTGTACTTGGGTGGCCAACTTCATAGGATACTAAGACCCTATCCTTAGGCCTGAGCAGCTTCGATTTACCAAGTAAAGATTTGAACTTATGATTCGTCCCAGACAAAAAGCAATCTTTACAATACGAGTCTTTGCGCCTCAATAGCACAATGGGTGTTTCCAATTTGCATTTCTGGCATTTTGTATCATAACTAGAAGAGTTTCAATTCAAGAGAGTTTAAAGGAATAAATTATTGTTATAAAAAGAGGCTTATTCTTTGGTTATGAAAAGTTCCTTCAAACTATACCCAGAGGGGCCAAATTCTCGTCTCAGGGAGTTGAGCCCTCCCGGAGAGAGAACAAATTTTTCGTCTTTATCATTCTCGTTTACTTTTCGATTATGTTGACAAGGACAAAACATTCGGAAGCTCTACTCCCTGAGCCGAGAATCCGGCCAAGTAGTTGAAGGGGCAATAAATAGGGAGTTAAGAAACCCAAAATTATAAATTTGTAAATATCACAAGGGTTTGAATAATGGTGTATGAGAGATTTTTATTTCCAACTTACTATTGAACAAATACATTGCTGGGCATGTGCCTATCACCGTCGTCTCCCACAGAGCACATATTGATATTTTATCAATGTTACTATTAAGACAGTGGTTTACCAATAACCTCAGCTTAATCTAAGATACTTGAGTTTGGTATTTTGGTTCTATTCTTAATTTTTAAATTATTGAATATACTTTTATAAAAAATAAAAATTATAATAAATGGAAGATAAGTTTAGTTTAGTGTCAAGTCAAGAGTAGCTTTCTGTCAAATTGGTCAAACAATTTGTCAAGGGTGCGTTCACGAACACCCAGCGTGCTCTGGAAAAATGTTTTCATTTTTATCTAATTCCTTCCACACCTAGGAAGAGCTCTGGGGCGCTACGCGCTTATTTCTTTCGAAAAGTGTTTGTTGCACCTGAAGTGCTCAAGCCCGAACTGAAACCATTTATTGCACGAAAGCCAGCGCATCTATTCCTTTCGAATCGGAGTGGACTAACACCGGAGTGAGTAGCTCTATTGTCAGTGGCGTAGCAAGAGCCGCTTTCCAGTATGGGAGTGTGACGCCCGGAGCTACTCGGGGCGTTGAGCTCTCGAGCTGTACGTACGCGTCAACCTGTCAGCTGTCACATCCGTGGGTGGCTATTTATCTATTTATTTCTTGTTATATCGCAAGATTGAACATTTTAAAAAATATAGTTTTGATTCTCTTTCATTTTTGATAAATAAAAAAACAAACTGCACAAACAAAGAGATAATTATTTTTAAAATTTGACATATTTGACACTAAGACAGGCGTCTCACGCCTTGATACTGGAACGGTACAAATTTAGTGCGTTGCGCCCCTGAGGTGCTCTAAAGCGCGCCAGAGCGCCCCAATGTGCATACTGGAAAGCGGCTAAGGTTGGATCAGTGATGGTTGGAAGGGGCCCCGGAGCAAATAATTTGCAGAGGCCTCCCAGTTGAATAGATATATAAAATAAAAATAAGCTAATGTGTATTTATTCCCAATAGTTGCAATGAAACGAATAATAGAAATAAAAAAATTGAAAAAAAAATCATGTTTAGCATCGTACCTACACGTGTTAACAAGTGAAACTTTTCCCTCCCCCTCATACAACTGTGTGTGACTATGTGTGACTTGCGTATGAGTCGGGGTGGGTACAGACCTGAATCTTGGGTAAAGACGAAGGACCAGACAAAAGGGAGACGCAACGATAATACACACGACTAAGGATTGCTTAACAGCCTCGGTTTTGGGAATCGCGGCCATTGGTGTAGCACCGTTGACGACGTCATCAACTACGGCGTCAACTATTTGCGCCAGCGGTCGTAGGTAAGAAAAGTTATACATTTATGATGAAAGAGATTATTTAATTTTGATTAAGCTTTAAAGTCAACCCCCTGAACTTTGTGTTCAAAAATTCCAAAAAAAAATATGTTTTATGGTTAACGATATACTTTAATCCATAATTTTTTTAAGCAAATTTGACTCGCCATTTTTGAGTTATATCGCAAAAACTGAAAAAAAAGTAGTTTTTCACCATTTATTTCAAAACGAATAGATGAAGTTTCCCATTATTTTTATTACGAACTACTATTGCAATTCTACGCGACATATATTTTTTTCAAATTTTTTGAACTTGTACTTTTCTTGTTACTACAAAAATAGTTGGAAAAACGCCCGTAGCTACATTCTGTTTGGATAAAAATCCGACAGATGAACGTTCAAAATTATTTGTGTTGGGCGAAACTACAACCCTGTTTATGTAAAACAGAATAATATTTCGAATTTCCGCCAAAAAAAGAAAAAACGTTCCATCACACAATTTAACCAAATGAAGATTTGTATTTTTTTTTGACAGTCAAGTTAGGGCACACTAAAGGGGCGACTGCATTGATATCTCGCGTTGCTGTAATAAACTATAGGCCTCTGACTTTAAACCTTAACATAAAGCTACGTACGCACTTTGCGAGGCAGCCTCGCGAGGCTGCCTCCCGAGGCGTGCTTCGCAAAATTAGTACCTGCCTCGACTCACTGTCTGCCGCGTTGCGAGGCATGCTCAGTCGGTTTTTTGGTCGTGCTCAAAGAAGCCTCGTAGCGCGGCATTTCCCAAGTTTGTACGTGTTCGCTGATTATAAGCGACATTGTTGTTGCCTCAGTCAATGAATGACGGCTCGCGTTGCCTCGTGTTTAGCTTCTACTACCACTTCAAAAGTAGTGCGAGGCTGCCGCAGTGCGAGCAAATACGAGATATAAAAAAAAAACGTTGTTTTAGAAAGTTAATTGATGTACAAGAACCAAGTAGCTATGCATAAAGCAAAAGCCCGCCGAACCATAAACTGTGGTGCAAACACCCTACGTCAAAACTATACCTTTACAACTTCAAATTGAGACTTATCACAATCAAATTGAGAACGAACATTTTCAAATTGAGATTAAACAAAATCAAATTGAGAACAATCAATTTCAAATTGGTACAACGTTCAATTATTACATGGAAACGGATGTTGTACACTTGGCCAATCATATAAAACTGGTACGCATTTTCCTATGGTGTTGTATTGTGTAAATCCACACAGCATTGACAATATTACATTGTATTGCCAACATAATGTCATTTTGACTTTTATCTTTAAAAAAAAAACAAGCTTTAAAAACATTTTGCATTTACCTTTGTGCAAGAATCGTAAACTCTACAGGATTGCTCAATCGGCTAAATTTGTTCACAATTGCTGTGACGTCAAGCGCATGCCGGATTTTCAAGATGGCCGCTGATACGAATGATATTTAGTTTGTGCTGACAACTATTTTATCGTAAATTCGGATTTATCTAGTGTTATAAGTGTAAATTTAAAGTTTCATTTAATGTGTGTAAGCATAAAAGACTCGTGGTTGAAAATACTCGCGAAAACCCCAAGCATTTTCTGGTTTTATAATACTGGATTTGTTGTATCAGGAGCGATGTCCTTTTATTTGTGTGTATTGCTAGTTAGTATTTCCTAGTCAAGCATTTGTTTTGCTTTTTTTTTATAAATCAAATATCTACTTAGTTGTAAGTTTCCTTTGCATGTAATTTCTAATAAAAATTAGGGTTTGTGAAGAGTGAATAAATAAATATGTAAATAAATTCCTTTACTGGCGCGTTTACTATGAAAACGCATGGAAAATATGGGAAACTTGCAATGTTTTTCTGGAATATGATTATGAGAATCTAAATTAGGTATCACTATTTGGCTTTGTGAAGTAAGCTCACTTTGAATGTCCATATTAAATCGTTCTAGTACCTATTAAATGAATGAATAATAATTGAGAAGTACCTAGGTAGGGTCAGTAAAAAATAGAGCACACTATTGCAACCCCGTTTCGCTTATACTTTGATATTGAAATGCAAAAATTAAACCGGCTCGGCACCCCACATTTGGTTTTCTACTGTTTCTCAACTGTAGTCAATTGTGCCCGTTTTGTGCTCAATTGTGCCAGTATTTATGCGAATTGTGCTCATTTTCATACACAAAAAAAACATTGAAACGAATCCGGGGGCCAGCTTCACTCCAGCCCTTCGTTTTTTTGCCTTTTTGGCAATATGTTTGGCTAATTGATAAACAAAAGCAAACAAATTCGTTTTTCTAATTAGCAATTAGCCAACCACTCAAGGACACAAGCTTTTGAAGCCTGCTAAATTTTAAAATCAATAAACTAATTACAAAATACAGTTTTCAAAGGAAATAACCTCAAAATAACAATTTTTCACGTTTGAAAATGCAAGGATAGTGCACTGTCATAAAAAACACAAACCGATCAAGGACTGCGTGACGTCATTCGCATACCGCCATCTTCTATGTTTTTATGAACGTTTGTCTTATGGGATTGAGCAATCCTGTAGAGTTTACGATTCTTGCCTTTGTGTACTTTTGTTCATCTTTGACGTTGACAGAAACTGTCTGACCTAAGTTTTTCAGAAGAGACTTATTGTGTTAAGCCTGACTCACACTGGGCAAATCTATAAAATATATAGTGCCTGTACCAGTTTTATGTTTGGCCAAGTGTACCAATTTGAAATTGATTGTTCTCAATTTGATTGTATTAAGTCTCAATTTGATTTTGTTAATCTCAATTGGATTGTGATGTCTCAATTTGAAGTTGTAAAGGTATGTGTATAGTAACGACACGCTGCCTACGTTACACTGGTTTTTTGGCGAGGTGGGGGGCTTGATATGTGATCCACAGCTAGGGTTGCCAACTTTGTTTTTTAATTTTTCTGGACGAGGGTGATAAAAATTCAGGACATACGGTATAAATTCTGGACATTTTTATTATTGCAGAGAAAAATACCATTTACAAACTTAAATGAATAATTCGACAAAAAAAAACATGCAATACACTAAAAAAAAAACTGTCCAACAAGAATTCTTTGGGTAAATAGGAACTAATAATTTAAAATTTTATTTCAAAAGTACCCAGATTAACAAATTATTTAAAGAATATGAAAAGTTAAGTACAGGTAGATACTTATAAAGGTCTGTTTCTGTTCTGCAGCTGCAGTAATCACAAACCAGTCAGAGCGAAATACAAGTTGCAAAATTCAGAAATTTTTCAATTCAGTATTAGTCCAAAATAATAAATTTAATTTTCAAGTAATGTATGATTTTCGTTATAAACCACCACCAGGCTTATAGCCGGCTTAATTTAACAGAATTCTTCATTGAGTTAAAAATTAAGTACAATAGGCGTCCTGCAATAGGTTGTTACAGGACGCTGGACAATGAACCCCGAATGGTGGACGTCCACCGAAATGCAGGACGGTTGGCAACCCTATCCACAGCCTTATGAGTATGGATGAGCGATACAGTGATTTTCAAATCACACTGTTAACTGATACCGTGATTTTTGAAAATCAGTGATTTTAAAGCGTGACTAAATCACGACTTTTAATATATTTTCGAAGCACTGAAACTGATGCAGAAATATGCTATTTTCTACTAGCGGTGGTCGTCGAGATATTTGGTAGATTTTAGGGATTTTGAGGAATTGTAATTACAAAAAGAAGAAATTATTCTTTTAGGACAAGAAATTAGTTTGCTACGTTGTCGTGATCACGTCACGCTTTTTATAGAACTTTAGTAACGGTCGTGATCCGTGATTTATAGATATTGTCGCAGCCCTGTTCGGTTGAGACTGTTGCAATCTTATTTAGTTGCAACTAGGGACCGGGGGGAATCTGAGAGATTAAAACAATCAAGTTTTGTAACACCAAGAAAAA